CTGCCTCTTGGTCTATGTACAGGTTCCTCATGTACATAGAATTCTCATACTTTGCAATGATGTCCATAGCTTGTCATGATCCACGCAATCAAAAGCATTTGGGTAGTCAGTAAAGCATAGATAAACATCTTTCTGGTATTCTCTGCTGTCAACAGAGATCCATCTGACATCAGCGATGATATCCCTTGTTTCACATCCTCTTCTGAATCTGGCTTGAACCTTTGGGGGAAGTTCTCTATCAATGTATGGTTGCTACTGTTTTTGTATTTAGCAGAATTTTACTTGCATGCAATATTAATGATACTGTCCTATGATGTCTACATTCTGTTGGATCATCTCTTTTGAATGGACACACATATTGATCTCTTCCAGTCAGTTAGCCAGGTAGTTGTCTTCCAAATTTCTTGGCAGAGATGAGTGAGTGCCTCCAGTAGTGCATCAGTTTGTTGAAAGATTTCAATTTGTATTCTGTCAATTCAGTTTCCAGTGCCTTGCTCTTTGCCTTCAGTGCACCTTGGACTAGTTCTTGATCATATGCTACCTCTTGAAATGTTTGAACATCGACCATTTCTTTTTGGTATAGTGACTCTGTGTAATTCTTGCATCATTTTTTGATGCTTTCTTTATCCTTCAATATTGCAACTCGAAGCTTGACGTTTTTCTTCAGTACCCTTAGCTTGATAAATGCTGGGTGTATTCTTCCCGTTTGATTTTCTATCTCCAGATCTTTGCACATTTCATTAGAACATTTGCCTTTGTCTTCTCAAGCTGACCTTTAAATTTTTCTATTCAGTTCTTTTGCCTCCTCATTTTTTCATTTGTTAGCAGCTCTACTTGGAGAGCAAGTTTCAGAGTCTCTTCTGGCATACATTTTGGGCTTTTCCCTTTTTCTTGTCTTCTTAATGCCCTCTTGCTTTCTTCCTGTATGGTGTTCTTGATGTTACTCCACAACTCTTCTGCTCTTCTGTCTTTAGTGTCAAGTGCATCATATCTGTTGTTGAGATGATCCTAAATTCAGGTGGGGTAGGCTCAAATACATATTTTTGCTCTTGAAGATTTCTTTTCATTTTCTTCATCTTCATCCTGAACTTATATAGGAGCAATTTATAGTCTATTTGACAGTTTACCTCTGGCCTTTTTCTGTATTCCATCAGGTGAGATCCATGTGTATAGTCACCTTTTATGTTGCTTAAGAAAGGTATGTGCAATGAAGAAGGCATTGGTGCTTCAAAATTCTATTATGCAATCCCCAGCATCATTTCTATCAAAGGCCATATTTGCCAACTTTTGGTCCTTCATTTTTGTCTCCAATCTTTGCATTTCAATTGCCAGTAATTATCAGTACATCTTACTTTCATGTTTGATCAATTTCAGACTGAAGAAGTTGATACAATTTTTCAGTTTTCATCATCACTCGTTTTAGTGGTTGGTGTGTAAATTTGAATAGCAGTAGTATTAACCGATCTTCCTTGTAGGGGTATGGATACTATCCTATCACAGACATTTACTTCAGGACAGATCTTGATAAGCTCTTTTTGATGCTGAATGCGATGCCATTCCTCTTCAATTTGTCATTCCCTGTATAGTCAACCATATAATTATCACATTCAGAATGGCCAATACCAGTCAATTTTCATTCACTAACGCCTAGAATATCGATATTTATGCATTCCATTTCATTTTTGACAGTCTCCAATTATGCTGGATTCATACATTGTACATTCCTTGTTCTGATTACCAATCAATGTTTACAGCTGTTTCTCTTCAATTTGAATTGTGCCCCATCAACAAATGAAGGTCCTGAAAGCTTTACAACATTTGTGTTATCAAGGTCAACTCCACTTTGAGCAGGCAGCTCTTCCCCAGGCACATTTTGAGTGCCTTCCAACCTAAGAGTCTCATCTTTCAACATGATATCTGAAAATATGTTGATGCTCAGTCATATTTTGAGTGCCTTCCATCCTGAGGAACTAATATTCTGGCACTGTATCTGACAATAGTCTGTTGTTCATAATGCTTCAGTATTCAATATTATGGTGCTGACAATGTTCCACAGGTATTCATAAGGTGACCATGTTCAGTGACTAAATTTTCAGAAGTAGTCCGTCTTTCCTTTTTCCTAATCTGTCTTTGGAAGCTCAGCTGATGTCTGTCCACTGTGGGTGACCCTGCTAGTATTTAAAATACTCATTTCATAGCTTCCAGAATCACAGCAACACACAAGCCCCCACAGTACAACCGACAGATGAGTGGTAGAAAGAATGTAGCATGCATGCTTATTTTTACTACTCAGAATGGAAAAATTATAGAGAGTATTCTGTGAAGAGGTGTAAACTGCTTACTTGATGTATGTGAGTATCATGACAGTGTTGTTCATTCAAACTTTTTTTGAAAGAAATGGTTGAAAGTATTTTTTTAAAAAGCAATTTCAGTATATTTCTTTAAAAATCCATTTTGTAGAATAGCATAATTACTTTTAAAAAATGAGCCTTATTCCACTTTCCCTAACTCCAAATTTCTGATAATTTAAATTTCAAGATAATATTAGAGAATCTTTTAAACTTACTTTTATTATATATATAAATTTTATGAAGAAATTGACATTTGAATGGTATCTTGATGATAATAATAGTGTTCAGTTTGTAGCTATTATAGGAGAAATGTCCATATTGGGGAAAAAAAGCACATACTTTAATTTGGTTCATGTTCCAATGCATGAAGTGAAAGAATGGAAAACAAAACTTAAAGCTAAATTGGGACCTTACTGTGAAAGTTCTTTAATGTGAAAAGCCCAATGCCATTTTTATCTAGTGGTGGTAGTTGTTAGCTGCCATTGAATTGCCCCCTAAATCATGGTGGTTTCTACATAACAGAATAGAATACTACTGTGTCCTATGATATTTGCATGATGGGTTACAGATTGTACCCTTGTGATCCCTGCAGTTGTCATGGCTGATTTTCAGAAATAGGTCACCAGGTCTTTCATTTTAGTTTGTGTTAGTGTGAAAGTTCTGCTGAAGCTTGTTCAGCCTCATGAAAGACAAGTAGTGGCAGTGCATGAGGTGCACTGGCTGGGAATCGAACCCTGATTTCTGGCAGGGAAGGCAGAAATTCTGCCACAGAGCTACCACTGTTGTTTTTGTTAAGTGCTGTTGAGTCAGTTCGAACTCATAGTGACCCTGTATAGGGTTTCCAAGGAGCAGTTGTTAGGTTTGAACTGCCAACTTTGTGGGCCATTCCGTAATTCAGCTGCTGACAATTTAGATTCAGCGCACAGTATCTGCAGAACTTTCTGATTCATGGAGATCTTGTGGGTCAGAGTAGAACTGTGCTCCATAAGGTTTTCAATGGCTAATACTTTGGAAGTAGACTTCCAAGCCTTTCTTCTGAGGCAGTTGTTGAAGTTACTTTGATCATATTACTTAGCAATAATCAGAGCTGGGTTTTAGAGAGATTACTCATGTAGTGGAGGCCCTTTATCTATTGTGACACACATGGTGTCTCCATGAATCAAAATCAGCTTAATGGTAGCTGGTTACCATGTAATAAAATATATTTGAGATCATTTGTATCAAATTAAAGAGACTGTAAAATATAATTATATCAATTGACTACATACTTAATATTGCAGTAGTCATTGTAGAATGCTTATAGCAAATACTGCTGAGGATTTTCATCAAGTATGACAAGCCCTTTAATTTATGTGAATATTTTTGTTTTTGTGGTTTATTTTTATCAAGTAAAATTGCAGCATATTTTTCCCATTATTTAGGTGTTATGTTCATCCATCACTGCTGTCTTATTTTTTAGATTAGCTTACACAAGCCATCAGAAATAACTATTTTTCCAATTTTAAAGTGATGGAGAATAATTAAATCTTTGGAATACTGGTGTGGCTCTATAGAATAAGCACTGGACTACTAACCACAAGGTTGGCAGTTCAAACCCACCAGCTGCTTCTTGGAATACTTATTCGAGGTCATCATGAGTTGGAACTGACTAGATGGCACTTAACAGCAGTAACAATCTAATCTCTAAACTCTCCAGCTTTAGCCTTTGATGAGTGAAGGAAATGTGATTTCTTTTCTTTTACTTTTGTAATATTTGCATGTCAACTATTTACTTATAATGCTGCACAGAGCAGAATTGATTGGGTTCTTTGCTTAATGAACTCAAAATGGTGATTTAAGTCAAAGACATTGAGAAATATGTTAAAGAACAAGATCAATAAGTAACAAGGTCTGGGGGTATTCAGTAACTGTCATTTATGTAGTTTATCAGAATTGTTGGCAAAATTGAACAGCTTTATTAGTTCTCACTTGACATACTTGAGAAGCAGAATAAAGTATAATGCAGTAGTAAAAACTCTAAAACCAGACTTCTTAGATTTGAGTTCTGTCCTGACTCTACTGCATATTAACAGTGAGACCTTATCCTCTTTGTGCTTTAGTTTTCTTATCAGTAAAATGGTCATAAGAGTAGAATCTTAAGAAGTTGTTGTGGAGATTTAACAGGTTTATACATGTAATGTATCTAAAGTGTTTCGAATGGGTACAGAGTACATAATACTATATTTATAATTTATTTTTATATTGTTATATATCATATATCTAAGATATATTTTGTCAGTTTTACTTATAATTCTTGTACAAATCTTGAGTTTAAGACCAAACTCTCATGCATATCTAGAAGATATTTTATAAAAATATGCTTATGTTTTCATGAATGTTTAGTATCATTCCACTATTATTAATAGCACAAATGTTTGTAATCATTAATTACTGTATTGTCATTGAGATTTAGTGCTGTTTGACACAAGGATCTTAGCTATGAAGCATATCCATATTGATGAGGATTTCTCTTTTTAAAAAAAAGATAAGAGGTTCCATGTACATATAACTGATATGTTAATGTTACTGAAGTTGCTGTAATAATAAATTTAACATTTTCTGCAGTCCTAAATAGATTTCTACCTCCTCCCTATTCACTGTTGATTTCAGTCGAATTTTGCAATGTAAGGAAGGGTGAAGAAACTACAAGTTTTGACCAAGAATATGGTTATCATATGAGAATGTTTCAGAAATAGGTTTTCAAATACATTAATTTCTCTTTATGTATTTTGACTTTCTAATTTAGATTTATTTTATGTATAATTATTTCATCTTAGTATAGAATATTTTTTTTATTAGATTTGAATTTCCCAGGAAACTTTTGTGCCATAGTATATACTATAAAAACATTTCCATAGGTCTTTTCAGAAAATAATCTAATTATAAGTACACTTTTAAGATTTTAATTTTAAATCTTAAATTCAGTTAATATGGCAGTTGTTTTAGAGACCATTTTTTTCGTTATTATTATATTATTATTTTTTTAATACTGCTTTCCATTTCAGGACCAGAGTTTTAGTCAAGCAGGAAAGAAGAAAGCAAAAGGTAAGGAAAAAATATTTTTGTGTTAGCTTTATGAGAACAGTCATCTACTCAACTGTTTTTCCAAGAGTAAAAAATTCAGTATGTGAAACTGGAGAACCTTCCCTTTAGTCTCTTGCATCTATGTACTTGGTTTAATTGATTAGCCATTTTGTTCAAAGTCATTGTGGATTCCTGCTGCCTTTTTACTTTCAAAATGCACCCCAGGTCTAACAACATCTCACTGCCTGTACTTCTCACTACCTTATAGAAATGTAATTCAGATCATTATTTATCACCTGGTGTTGGTTGTGTGTCATGGAGCTGGTTCCTACACACAGTGACAGTGTAGGTCATTACAAGACTGTAAATCTTTACGGGAGCATAAAGCCTCATCTTTCTCCTGCAGAAGGGCTGGTAGTTTCGAACTGCTGACCTTGAGGTTAACCACCCAACTTGTAACCACTATGCTATCAGAGCTCCTTATTTATCACCTAGAGATGTGTAATAACATTGTAACTTATCTCCCATTTCTGTTTAAAACATAGTTTTAATTTTATTGCATTAAGTAAAAGTTAAACATATGGTGTTATACTGTAGAATCAGCACTGGACTGTGAATCACAAGGTAGGCAGTTCAAAATCACCAGCTGATCTTTGGAAATCCTGTATAACAGGGTTGCTGTGAGTCAGAATTGACTCACTGGCACATAACAACAGTAAAAATGTGCATATCTTATAACTGAACAATATAGACTATATATCTGAGAAATAGTCTTGCATATGTGTGTTTTGAAATATATACAAGATTTCTGAGTCATTGTTGAACAACAAACAAAGAAGAGAGAGAGGTAAAAAAAAGGAAAAGAAAAGGAACAGAAGAAAGGGAAGCCGAGGGACTGTTCAAAGTCCATTACCTATAAAATGGTTAATCAAATTGTGGAGTATCCAAGTAAACAGTTGTTGTTAGGTGCCATCGAGTTGGTACCAACTCGTAGTGACCTTATGCACAGCAGGGTCACTATGAGTCGGAATCAACTCTACGGCACTTAACAACAACAACATGAGCAAAATACTGAATGATGTAGAAAGCATCAAAAGGAGATGGGAGAAATATACAGAGTCACTGTACCAAAAAGAAATGGTCGATGCCCAAACTTTACAAGAAGTTGCATAGGATCCAATGATATGATTCAGTGATCTAATGAAATGCCAATGATAACTAAAGGAAGAAGTCCACTGAAGGCATTGACAAAGAACAAGTAGCCAGAAATTGATGGAAAGCAAATTGAAATATTTTAACAAACTGATGTGGCACCAAAGGCAGTCGCTCATCTATGCCAAGAAATTTGTAAAACAGCTTCCTGACCATTTGATAGGAAGAGATCCATATTTGTGTCCATTCCAAAGAAAGGTGACTCAACGGAATTCAGACATTATCAGACAATATCATTAATATTGCATGCAAGTAAAATTTTCCTAAAGGTAATTGAAAAACTCCTGCAACACAACACTGATAGAGAACTGCCAGAGATTCAAATGGATTCAGAAAAGGATGTGGAACAAGGGAATACTGATGATGTCAGATGGATCTTGACTGAAAGAGAATACCAGAAAGATGTTTATTTGTGCTTTATTGACTACCCAAAAGCTTTCAGTTGTGTGGATCATGACAGATATGGACAATTTTGCAGAGAATAAATATTACAAAACACTTACTGATGCTCATGAGGAACCTGTACATAGACCAAGAGGTAGTTGTTTGAACAGAACAAGAGAACACTGAACGGTTTAAAACTAGGAAATGTGTGTGCCAGGGTTGTATTCTTTCACCATAATTATTCAACATGTATTCTAAGCACATAATCTGAGAAGCTGGGTTATATGAAGAAAAATGTGGCATTGGAGGAAGAGTCATTAACAACCTGTGATATGCAGATGATACAGCCTCCTTTGCAAAAAGGTGTGGAGGAAGAGTCATTAACAACCTGTGATATGCAGATGATACAGCCTCGCTTGCTGAAAGGAAAGAAGACTTACAAATATACTTATTGATGAAGATGAAAGAGTGCAGATTGAAGATCAAAGATCTCCAATGTAAAGAAAACAAAAATCCTCCCCATTGGACCAAAAATAATGTCCATGTAAATGGAGAAAAGATTGAAGTTGTCAAAGTCTTCGTTTTGCTCAGATCAGCAATCAACACTCATGGAAGCCAGGCAGTCAAAACAACATATTGCATTAGGCAAATCTGCCGTATAAGACCTCTTTAAAATGTTCAAGAGCAAAGATGTCAGTTTGAGAACCAAGGTATGCCTGACCAAAGTCACAGTATTTTCAGTAACATCATGTGCTTGTGAAAGTTGGACAGTGAATAAGGAAGATCATAAAAAAATTCATGTATTTGAGTTATGATGTTGGAGAAGAGCATTAAAAATACCATGGGTCACCAGAATAACAAACATATCTCTGTTGGAAGATGTCCAGCCAGAATGCTCCTTGGAAGCCAGGATGGCGACTTCATCTCTCATACTTCAGACATATTATCAGGAGGTGCCAGTCCCTGGAGAAGGACATCATGCTTGGTTAAGTGGAGGGTCAGCGAAAAAGAGAAGAACCCCTAACGTGATGGATTGGCAGAGTAGTAGCAGTAGCAGTGTCAATGGCTCAAGCGTTGCAACAGTGGTGAGATTGACACAGAACCAGGCAGTGTTTTATTCTATTGTGTATGGAGTCACTATGAGTTGGTAGCAACAAAACGACACTTAACAGCAACAACAACAGCAACAATTCTACTTGAATTGTTCTTCTACAAGAAAGAGAAAGATGATCCTTTCCTAAAGTGTTACTCTGCAATTATGTCAATCATGTCACTCTCCTACTCTTTGAAAAAATGGTTTTGTAGTTTTCATACCTACTTTTGGCTTCCCAAACCTCTTTTCTTCAAACCCTTTCTCTGTGCTCTTCTTATTCACATAATAACTGTGTCTCATATATCAGAGGTAATAGAAGCCATCGGATGAGAATTATCTCAAAAGCCTATCACCAATCTGTCGATCATCTTCTCTTGCTCTCCTGTAACTATGAAAGAAATTTGCTCTTCCTATCAAAGGAAGGTTTCTCTATTTGCAGTCTGGAGTTGGGCTTTTTCTGCTGTCTCAGGACCTCATTATATTAATTAGTTTTTTTTCTTACTTGGATCCTCTTTTATCTTCAACTATTGTAGACTTCTCATTGATATTTAGATACACTCCAATCTCCCATATTAAAAAAACCAGAAAACAAAAATGATATCATCTTTGGATCTTTTCTTTTATATTTGTATGTACCTTCACTCTTACTTTCCATTCATTACTTAGTTAATTGTAGTCTACAGCACTTGCTTATGTCAACAATGAGCATCACAGAGTTTAATTCAAAGGGCATTTTTCAGTCCATCATAGTTTAAAAATGTCATCATCTCCTACAAAGTTTTCAATTCTCTTTATGTTGAAAAATCTCTTTGCTTTCTTTGACACATTCTTCAAATTTACCATTTTCAAGTTAAAATTTTATTGTTTTTTGGAAGTTTTCTAATTGTCTTCTAATTTCTATTAAATTAGATTTGACGCAGAAATTGAACATGACCTGGTCAGGTAAATTCGTTAGTCACATATCTTTAGTATTTCTAGAAACAGATGAGACTTTCATGGCTTTTTTTAGGCGTGGTTATTCAGCAGTATTCCCTGGATTAAGGTTTACTCCCTTTTCTGACAGTGCCTGTTATTGAGTGTAAGGGGGTCCCAACCCATCAACAGAGGGTCCTTGTCTTTGCTGACCAAGAATGATTAGGTTACACAGACAAGAGTTTTACACAAGCAAGATATTTAAAGATTTATTGAAAGGAAAAGATCTGACCAGAATAGACAAGGAGAGTCCTAATAAGCCTAGCCCTCATCTCTCTGAACAGAAGCTTGACTGGAGTTTAAAAGGTTTTAGGTGGGTAAAGGCTTCATGTTTATTCATAGAGATAGGTGGGAATTTCCGTGAAGTGGTCCATTTAGGAACGGTTATGCTAATTGAATGTGTTTGCAGCATTTCTTCAAGATGGATTTCATTGCCTAAGTCTCTGGTTGTTGTTGTTGTTAGGTGCCATCGAGTCAGTACCGACTCATAGCGACC